AATTTTTGCCAAAACTAACTAAATAAAATGTAAAAAGCCCATTTATGCTGTGAATATCCACGACTGATTTCAGAGTCAGTCAAATTTCCTTCCTCCTGTCATTTTAATGGCAGCTTCGTCTTAAAAGTTCAACTGAGTTAGCTCTATCCTCCTTCTAAACGAGAAAATTTACGCGATTCTACTGCATACTTATTAGCACCAGTTCCCTACAACTTTTTACTTGATTAAAAAATCGATTTTAAATTCACCCACTTTATCTTTTAGATATTTCATTCAGTTTTAACCCACCCACAGGTAGGGGTTAGAAATACTCCCCGACGTTTTATACCTGTGCTGGTGAATGCGCAGTGGATGCGCTAGAATCATCTCTAAAACGTGACTTGGTAGAATATTGTAAAGTCCACCATACGGCAATAGGATAATACTGTTAAACTGAGCATATATGCCGTGTAAAGGGACGGGAAGCCATCATCAGCAAAGCAAACTCAGCAATATGGATAGGTGAACTGAGGATGAAACTACCAAAGGGGGGGGGTCAAGGTAGCCACAGAATTACCAAGACATCTTTAATTGTCAATGCCACTGAAAGATCTGTAGCTCCTTCCAACGAGATATATCAGTTAAGTCACGTTTATTGATTTAACTCCCGAAGAGCCGACGAAGACGAATGTAAAAGAGCTATGCTCTATTATAGAGTTGAAGTTTATGTATTAGCAGCGAGGGTCATTCAAACTTAAAGGAATAGAGGGAAGTTTGCTTGACATTATTGTTCATTTCAAAGCTTGTTTCATCCTTCAACATCTTCCATCTCAGAGGAGTAAAGCCTCACTCATTGGAAAGTACACTTTTGGGGTAATAACGGGGTGTATATAAATTCGCATTTCCTCAAATTAGTTTAATGGGTTTACGATGGTGTCCATATTCCATAATTCACAATGCAATGCAAAATAGTTGGTATACTTGATTACCTAATAGGTCACATGATTTCAACTAATTTATTAAGTAAAAAGGAATGAATTTACCAAAACCACTTTTAGTAGTCAAAAGGCCTCTTGGAGCCCTTTTAGAACAAAGAGACTAGAAAGTAAAGTCAAATTTGTCACGGCAGAATAAAGTGATCATGATTTAGAAAGTTTAAGTAGAAGCCAAGTTTGAAAATTGAGACCTTTGGAAAATTAGATGAATCGAGGTTCATTTTGTGAGCGAAGGAGTTAAGCTGTGTAAATATCGGGATTTATTTAGTTCCCATGACGTTAAAAGGAAAATCAGTTGAAAACTTGTCTTCTTCAAGGATAAGTATTCAAACACATAAAAAGGAAGTTTACTGAAAATTTTGACCTCTTAAAAATGGTGTTGTTGGATAGAAGAGGTGAGTCAGAGAACTGCGAGACCCTTGCTAAATCCTGGAGTTGAGATCTTTCTTTTCATCGTCTTGCCCTCAATACGGAAAATCTGGTGGAAATTTTTGCATTTGCCCTCATTTCACTTTATTCCTGTAGCATTATCTATTTAGCGAGGGAATGTGCCAGTTGGTGGACCAAGTTGGTGGAACTTGGGGGGAATGATCCGCCATTGGCTTATCGCCTCGCCAACCTTTACAAAAGGTAAATGAAACCGGAAATCAATACACACTAGTGTTTCTTTACCTACACCCTTTAGTTGTGGTTAATAATCAGTAATGTGACAATACGGATTCATACGAGGGTTCAATGTCCAACTTTCGTTTTCCTTCTCTGCTTGAAGTTGCCCTAATCAGTTCTTTGAATATGCTAATTAAGAGGCGTCTTATTGAATATGAAGAGCATTTCGCCCATATCTTCACTTCCATGTGAAGACTAAATCAGCGATCCAATTTTCATCTTTGTGGTTGTGGAATAGATTTATTCAGGAGGGGCATTTTCTACAGCAAATTCAACACTTACTTGTCTTCTGCTGCACATTCCTAAAATCATTCTTCAAGCAGTGCTCTGGACCACTTTTATTCTTTTATGCTCCACTTCAAACAATATTAGTTAAATCGTCTAGAAAAGGCTAATTTGATGAATATGTCTAGTACCTTTAATTCGAGCTTTTAATCGGTAGGAAGGTGTCTTTTGGTCTTCAAGGTTTAATTACTTAAAGCCCCATCTGGGAATATTCTAGTATTCACTGTTGAGCTCACCTGTTGGTTTATATTTGAAGGGATAGTTGATCCAGGTCTACTCTGACATGCATTTAGACTACTTTACTAAGTGTCGCTTCCTCCACATATGTGTCAAGGTGAGTGTTAGGTTGTGGAAGCATCTGTTCAGCTAGCCCAAACAATAAAACGATAAGACAAAGTTCATCTGCTTAATCGAGCTATCCCCGTGTCCACTCAAAGGCTGAGAAGGCCGCCAGTTAGAATTTCACTTTCCAACTAGTCGTTTATGCCCTATCTAAAGTCAAAACATTCAGTGAGAGGGTTAAAATGCTTTAGCCTGTATTGGTGATAACTCAGGCCACTTTCAATGCAGACGGTGGCATGAGGCTTCTGTATACATTCAACCAGATTACAGCAATACAGCTAAATTTCAGCCTTCATTTTGTAAATTTGGCGTTTATTACGAATTTTACCCAACACTCCGCAGAACCTATCACTCTTAACTTTTCTAAGAAGCCGTTTTACAAGGCTAAAGGGAGTCTGAAACTCGTATCTAATCCCTTCGGTTATACATAATTCACTGTGTCTGAAAGGAAATTTTATGAAATGTGGCTCAAAAGACTCAACTTTCGTTTTAATTCATATGATGGAAAAATCTAGACGCTTGGCACTAGTCGTGACAGAAGAAAAGAATATGGAAGAAACATTTCAACGTTACGTTTTAAGTCTTGCCTCATTCGATATTCAAGTACCTTCCCCCCCCCACCCCCCACCTCCGCTCACGCTCTCAATAAATGTGATATTTTCATCCAATAATCTCGATTTCATATCTTTTCCTAATCTTTGCTATAAATGTACCCAAATTGCCTTTCACTCAATTCTGGAATCTGCCAAGATTGAAGGTGACATTTGTAGATATTTACGTAATTTATCCATCATGCTAAACGGTAGAGATTATTGGCATATTTTTACTTAAAGCCTTTGTATATTTGCAATAGGAAAATAGGGAAACCGATTAGATCGTCTTCGAAATCACAAGCATACTTCCACGCAGCAATTTATGATGGAAAAAAGGAGACAAATATTCTTGAATTGGGAGTATTTATGACCAAACTTTTCGCATTATTTCTGACACACTTGAGTGCATAATCTAATGACTGACTGTAGGTTCTAATTAATAATCAATGGACATTATGGCATGTTGGTGATTCAGTAGTCTCGGCAGTAGTAGTCGACGATCGTCATCGATGCGATTCGAGTAGATAAAATGACTCTTTTCATCTGCTAAAGGTAATCACTTACACTGCTTATTAGCTGATTGCCTAATGCCATAGCTGCAACTAATTCAGAAACACTAAATACTTCAAGTTCAAGACAAATCCCTGATTCAAAGATGACCATTTACAAGATCGGAAATCTTGCCTTTAACTACCGATGCCAATTCCATTCGAGCTTACTGTCAAGATGTCACACATATCGCGCATTCACATGCAAATAAAAATTATGGGTGACTTGAAGGTCACCTGTTGTGTGTGTGTGATGGTGTGTGACATGCCCATCCACTCCATCCCCTTGAGAGTGTCCGATCAATAGGAGGCACATAAAAATTAAAAACAATGACTTCCCAGCCTTTTGGTTAAGAGCTTTCTAAACCTTCACCTTGGCTTGAGGGGTGGCATTATCGGCGCGCCGTGATGAGAAGCAGAGGTTCTGGCAGTCCTTTTATTGGCCAAACTTAGCCGGTATTTTTCACTCTAAGTGCACCAATGAGCACCAGAATCTAAACTCCGGACTTTCCTGACATGCACATTAGCCATTGCGCCAACAGAACACGCACGAAGAAACTTCAGCGGGATACATTTTGCTCTTCCCAACTTCAAGAATATTACAAAAAAAAACCTAAACTGTTAGTGAAATGACAATGAAGGGGTTGTGGTAAACAATGTACGATTGTCTTAAGCGCTAGATCACTTTGTTTAATTGAGGACTAATAAAAATGCGTTTTCACTGCCGGAATCTTCGGCTTAAATTCTGCTATTCAAATCAGTTTTCTATACAAGTAACAATCGTAGATAAATAACAGTAAATTCGAGTTTCACGGTCTCATCTCAACCAATAAATAATGATTAAGCTAACCTATCGAAACTTTCTACCACGTTTTTGAAAGTCTTGGGAGAAACCTTAAGCTGTTTGCGACAATCAGTTCGCTTCAAGTTATCTTTGGGGTTTATTTTTAGAGAAGTATGAAAAGCTTCGTGTTGTAAACAACCCTCGATTAACAACAGATCGGTGAATCAATGTAACTGCTGTCCAATCAGGTCTCGCAATCACGGACATATACAAATTCGGAGGATTTTAATCCTTTAATGCCTAACTTCTGAACTAAATTCAAAGTAGGCCAAGTTTCAGTTGAAGTACAATTTCTAACCCACACAGTCGTCTCGCCTCAGCTACTGGATTCCTCTTCTTCGCAATTTCTTATTTCGAATTATCCACATATTTTCTCGTCGTTTAATTGGTTTTAAATTAGTACTGGCAACTGTGCTCACACACTCACTCACTCGCACTCACACACACACTAAAATAAAAGGCAGAGGTCTCAAAAGTAACTAGTTCCGAAAGCATCACAGCTTTTAATCATAACTGCATCAGATGTCTAAAAATAACGCGCGTTTCAACATAGCAATGGTTGTAGGTCATTCACGATTGCACATATAATTGCATATTGCACCCAGCATCCATTTAGAAAAGAAAGGACATAATCTTTCGGACGATTTGTTACAAAAAATTACAATTTAATTTACAGAAAGAATCTCGACCATCATAAGTTCATAATCCCCAGTAGACTACAACAATGACCACACGACTCGATGTCTTCTCAGCCCACTGAACTCTCCAACTTGCGCTTCTTGGACACTGGTGCAGCTGTACCAGTCACCGGCCTCTTGTTTTTTCGCTTCTGCTTGTTATTTCCTTTCACCTTTTTAACAATCTCCTCCTGTTCATCCAAATCTACTATCATGGGCGTTGCCGTAGGCGAAGACTGTTCTTCTTCCTCCACGTCTGTTTCAATTGGAGATACCATCAATGGAAGAGGGTATGCCTTTTTCCCTCTACTCAATCTACCAATTTGTGATAAGTAACTCCATGTGGCATCCAGACCATCCATTCTTAAAGGAAAACATATGACTACAAAACTCTTTTAAACAACTAGTAAATGAACGTCTGATCACAACAGGCATACCGATTGATGAGAGAGCTCTTGACACCTTCTAGAGCCGTCTGTAGACGAATTAGCGAGGCCTGGAACGCCTTGAACTCTCCATGTTCCATGAGAATGCCTGGTCTTTGAAGACACTCCTTTACTTTCTCGGGATCAGCATCTTCCATACCAAGAAGACGAAGTTGACTGTCGGTACTACGAGGTTGGGAGGTTTGAGCAAGATAGTTTCGAAGACTGCTCGCATGCACCATGAAAACACTGTCCACCCAAGTTGCATAAAATGCAAGATGACGTGATCGACCACCTTCAATTTGCCGTGCGAGGAAGGGAACCAAACTGCGAAGAACCAGACTCAGGGGCATGTTCTTTACAGTAAAATTGACTGTGAAGGTAAAAAGAGGAAAAGAGTGTAAAGAGTGTAAAGATGTGAAAGGTGATAAATCTCTTAACCTACAAAAAAATTTGGTGATGACTCATTTTGGACTTATAGAAAGACAGGAATCTGGGTGAAGATTGGGATAATTTGACAATTGGAAGACAGGGAAGAGAATTTGCTAAAACACTAAGAATTTCTCGCACACTTGAAGCAGTAATAAAAGTTGCCGCCAGTTACTTGTTCCTGGGTTAATTTATGTTGGTCATAACGCCCTGCCTCTACCGAATGCAAAAAAATGAAACGGTTTTCGGGCAAGCTCGATAAAAACTGCGAGAAACGAGTGGTCACAGTGAATAGTTTTAAGAGAAACGGTACTGATGATAGCAATAACGGAAAGCTATTGACATTCAAGGGAGCAAATAAAATCGGGAACTCGGCATTCAAATAAGATTAATAATTAAACTTAAACAAATGGAATCTTGAAGCTAAGTACAATATTATTGATATCGTCAGTCAAATTTGACCAAAGCAAATAGTACAACGTTTGCAATTTACGAAATAAGACAGCGAATGAGAAAATGTACTTGATTTGTTTTAATCGTGCACAGTGTAATTCCAACACAATTTGACCACAATCAAAACAAGTGTCAATTAATAAAAAAATTTCAACTTAGGATGAAATTAATCCTCATCCAAACTTATGAAGCAATTGGTGTCAATCAATCAAATCGAATTAGCAAAACTTCTGTTAACGAATTAAGAGGGAATTTCAGAGAAAAGGGAATGCGGTTGTTGATGGAAGAGGAGGAGGAAGGAGGGG